GAGAGAGGCTCCTCTTACCGAGGGGCGTCCTACCCGCAAGGGGGTTCATAGAGCGGGGGGCAAAGGAAGGTAGAAAGCCAGGTCCTTTCCAGGGCATCAGCACTAGATGCCCCCGGCAGCTCCAAGGAGACCGGTGCCTGCAGTCACTGTAACCCAGCACAGCAGCTTTTCCTCTAGAAAGGCAGATTTCGAGGGAATCCCCAACCCGCAGAGGGAATAGGTGCAGGTTTTGCCTGCACACATCACACCCGCCCGCGGGGCGATGCCCAGCAGGACGGGCAGGGCGCATGGAGCCCGACAGCAGCCCCAGCAGCGCTCTGGGCAAGGGGGAGGCGCTGTCTGGAGGACACTCTGCCAAAAGGCAACCGCCCTGCAGGCCCAGACCTACAGGCCCTGACGCTAACAGTCTTGTGTTTGCTTTTTTTCTTCCAGAAACCAAATACGAGCCATGGGTCTTTTTCCCAAGCGGTCTGCTTCCATGGGTAGAGCCCACGGCCCAGCTGGGAGATCCGATACCAGAGGCCTTGCTGACTCTTTGCCTCCCTTTCTTTGGCACCATTTCTTCCCCCTTTCTGGGGAAAGCACCACCCTGAGCACTGAGGTGCAGCTGTCTGGGATGCACCCGGAGTAGGGAGAGCAGCAAGGGCGAGTCGGCGAGGCAGCAATGGAGCGATGTTATCCGCTCTCCGGCTGGACGGGGACACTGCGGCGGGGCCGGGAGCTCCGCTCCTCACCTCGCGCTGCCGTGTTTCATGGTTGGGAGTAACTCCCGTAAAATCACTGTTCCAGCTCCGAGCTGCTTTATGCTTCGGATGGGACAGGAAGTTTGCTATTTCTGTGATGCCTGGTGTCTTAACTTGTCCAAAACAATAAAATAAAGAAGCCTAAATATATTTTGGAAAAGTTTCTTTTTGCGGTTCGGGAAGCCCATGGGAGGCCAGTGACCAGCGCTTCCTCTTTCCAGACAGCTACCGGGAGCCACTTCCCGTTCAAAGCCTCCCTCTGGGAAGTTCCTGCTCTTTGTTTCAGGAGTTCCTTATCAGCTCTGTCCCTTCAGTGGGCTGTTTTGTACAACCCAAGAGACCCTAGCATCTGAGTGGAGACTCCCCTTACCTTGGGGAGCCAGGCATGGCTGTTCTGACCTGAAATGTCAGCTGTGCTCTTCTGGAGGGTCTGTTCCCCGGCCACAAAGTCCTCTGAGATCACAGTCTGCAGCCAAAGTGGTTACACAGACACATGTAGAGTAACAGGGCAGAACTGCAGAGATAAGCATCCCTTCCTCATACCCAGCATTTCTTTTGGCAAAGAGACAATACCAAGAGCGGAAAAAGGCTCCTTGTTTTAATAACTGGAAGTGCCACTGTGTCACAGAGATCTCCTTGCCTGGGTCCAGGTGAAGAGGAGACGTGGACCTGCCTGGGGTGGTTCCTATTTATCACTGTCTTGGTTCCACCTTCCCGAGCTCAGAGCTCAAGATGCTTCTCCATCTGTTCTCTCAACTTGTATTTCTGAACCTGGAACAAAGTGAGAGAAAAGGAGACAATCAGGGAGGAGAGAGCAAAAACAAATGTTGCCCATCATGCCTGCGCTACCCCAGCCTGGCTCCTACCTTGCCTGAGACAGTGAGCGGATACTGATTCAAAAACACGATGTACCGGGGGATCTTGAAATGAGAGATCTGGAAAGAGAAACACAGCAGCTCCACAGCCTGTAAACCCAAGCCAGGGCTGTGCAGACTGGGGCCCAAGCTCTGAACTGCTGCAACTCCCTGTGCAAATTCCCAGCAGCTGCTGAGGGCGGATCCGGCAGGGCGCCGGGCGGCTGGGCACACGAGCGCAGACCTACCTTCCCCTTGCAGAACGCTCTAATCTCCTCCTCTGTGCACCTCTGCCCAGCTCTCACTCGAATGCAGGCACAGATCTCCTCTCCCATCCGCGAATCCTTCACGCCAACCACCTGGTTGGGACACAAGGACACGTGAGCCCCAGGGGACACCCATCCGTGTCGCTGGCTGCAGGGGCGGCAGACGCCGCTGCCGAGGCAGCCCGAGCTCCTCTGCGTGTCCCAGAGCTCTCGGTGACACCTCCTTCGCGCGGGACACGGCAGAGCCGCGCGGCCACGCGGGGCTGCTCTCTCCCACGGGCTCCAGCATCTTCCTCCTCTTTGCAAAATCTCTCTGGATTAGTCACTGGAGCGAGGGCTGAGTCAGAGCAGCTCCGCATGAGGTCACCTCAGGTATAGCTCGGGCCTGGCATCATCTTTCTTTGTGACATTGTTTTTCCAACTGTAAAATTGGGCAATAGGTTTCACAGCTGACGAGAAGACTTAGGAAGCTTATTCAAAATACTTTGAATACTTTCCTCCAGAGGAAACAGCACAAGAGGGATGAAGTACAAAGCCCCTAGAGCAGCAGATGTTAGCAGATCCTTCCCTGTGTTACCAGGAGATCCGATCATTAGGTGGGAGAGCCGGGCTCCCCAAGCCTGCTCTCTCACAGATTTGCTTGCACAGTTTCTCAGGAGGCTCTATTGCCATTCCCCACCTTGAACTGCTATCTCACAAACCTAGAGACGCGTCGATTCTTCTGAATCCAGGACAGTGACATAAAGCCCTAGAAACTACATAAACAGGTCTGGTTCGAAACCCATCTGCACTGAGATTATTCCAAGGAGAGATGCTGGCCTGGCGCAGGCGCAACACTTACTAAATGACGGGTTTATTTACGGGGAGACTTGTCTGGCACAAAACCTGGAGAACAATCCCAGCAGATTGAGAGCAGCTGCTAAATGCCACAAATCATTTATTTCTTGTGAACAGATGAAACTAAGTCTAACTCCCCATCTTCAGGAGCTCATTGGAGGAGTCTTTTCTGGTTTCAGATTTCAGTAATTAATTATCAGTAAAAACTGTCCTTTCAGGGTGCTTTCCAGATAAGATTTTGAGAGAGCTATGGAAGTGAGCAGGGAGACAAAGAGAAGTGATTTCTGCCACTTCGCAGACATGGGGCTGATTCACAAGGAGTCTGTGCACGTCTATGTGCCCAATGCCAAACACAGAAACACACTCAGGAGCTCTGCTTGCCCATTCCGGGCCATGAGCTTTGCCTTCCTGGTTGCCGGCTAAGATCCCAAAAAAGAAGCTGCAAACAGGGGAAGACAAGCAGGTGCCAAGCAGCCATCATGGGTGATGCTGTGCGCAGGTTTCCCACCACACTGACCATCTCTTCTTGCCCACCGCCCTCCCTTCCACTCACCTGGGCCTCCTCCACCTTGGGATGGGTGTGGAGAAACTGCTCAAGTTCCGCTGGGTAGATGTTCTCTCCTCCCCGAATAATCATGTCCTTGCAGCGACCTATGATTTTGCAGTAGCCCTGCTCATCCAAACTCGCAAGGTCCCTGCAACAACACCACAGACCTGCTGCTATCTCTGTAGGTGGAAGGATGACTGATCCACCCAGCCAGTTTGGCTGGGCGCATTGCGAGGGATCAGGGCATCTGGATGGGAAAGCTGAGGTGCCCATGGATGTACTGTGCTCTGAACCCTGGAGAGAAAAATCCTGTGAAGATTAGAGACTTTCTGCTACAGCCAGGCACTGCGATCCTCAGCAGAAACATCTGGTTTGGAGAAGGGTCAACCCTGTCTCCAGCACGTATCCCCACTGCCCTTCTCTCGGAGGAAGACCACAATGGCACCAGCAATGAGGTGGTATCTCCACCTCCAGGAGCAGCTCACGACAAGGGCTATGTGCTAAAGGCTATGCTGAAGTTCACAGAGATGGACTCAGAATTAGAGGGATAAATTTGTTCTACTTTCCCTGCTATGGAAATTGCTGCCAAACCACTCATGGACATATATGTCCCCACCCATGGACACCCAGCAGGACAGGCTGGGAAGAGAAGGGACGTTTCTGGACTCACCCAGTCTTGTACCACTTATCATCAGAGATCACTTCGCTTGTTTTGGAGGGGTCGTCCCAGTAGCCCAGCATGACACAGTAGCCACGGATCTGAAGTTCCCCAGGAGTGTTTAGAGGTACAGCCTCCCCGGTTGCTGGATCCTCAATCTTTGCCTGCAATGGAAGAGAGCCAAGGCCTTCCAAAAGCTAAGCCAACATTATGGCACAGACCAGCCCCAGCATCAGAAAGGGAGGACGAGCTGAGGACTGCTGTGAATGGAGAATGTGGAGCAGGTGGAAGGACCATGGTCACCTCTGTGTGGGGGAAGATGCATCCCACAGTCTCAGTTTTTTTGTCAAAGTCATCATCTGGGAATCCCATGAAGGTGACAGGGCTGTTTTCTGTGGTTCCATAGGCGACCTGCAAATACAAGAAGGGCAATATTCCTCAAATAGCTCTAGATATGGGAAAGGTGAAGCTAGTGCTGCACACCTGTAAGACCCAGGGTGCAAGGAGGGTGTTTCCACAAGTCATTCGGACTGCAGGCAAGCCCTTTGCTCCCTTGGCCCTCTGAAGGGGATCTCTGGGTACTCCTACCAGCAAGGAAAGCTCTTCAAGCAGACAGGAGGCTCGTTATCCTCCAACCTCCCACCACCCAAGGCACTTTGGTGTCATTTGACAATCCACCTGCTTTTCCTGAAGGATCCCAGGGTTTGCCCTACTCTTTTTTGACCTCTGCATGTCCCCCCCGGTGCTGTCCTGCTTACTCCTTACCACCTCAGTCAGATATTGCTTCTGCCTTCATGCCCTTACAGCCTCAAGCTGTGCTCAGTTCTCCTTGCACCTCCTAGAGCTGGGGCTGCTTTGGAGATCAACCTTGGAAGAAGTCCTGGAGGCGGCAGCGGGCTCCATGGGAGGCAGATCCTCCCCACCTGCTCCCTCTGCGCAGACAGGAGCCCTGTGAACCTCGACAGGCATCACGAGGCCGCAGCGAGTGCTCAGCGCAGCTGCCTTTCCCCAACCAAAAGCATCACAGCAGGATGGAGGCTTCTCACCGCTAAAGCTGTTTCACTGCTAATCCCACCAGCAGGCTCTGAGCCACTTAATCTGAAGGTCACTTCTCCTCAAAGGAAAATTCCAGCTCTTTACGCCCAGCTTGGTGATCTGCCGAGGTCACCAAGTTGGCGATGTCAGGAGCCAGCGCCAAGGTGCCCTGGGAAGCTCGGGCAGCAGCTCCCGGTGCTGCTCCTGCGAGAGCTGCATCCTCCCCACTGCTGCGAGCCGCATTCCAGCAGCGGGAGGCGCCGCGGGCTCCTCTGATCCCTGCACCCGGGCGCTGGCAGCCTCACGCTGGGTGCACGGTCTGCCCTGAGCGCTGCTGCTCCAGCTGGGCTGCTCAGACCGACCCGGGGCTCGGGGTGCTCCTGTGAGCCAGGAGTCTGGAGGAGGTTGTCCCCCGGGACCCGCAGGGACCAGCTGCGGAGCAGCTCTGCCAGGAGGAGCCTGGCAAGCCGAGGAGCAGCTGGAAACGGGCTCCTCCAAGCAGGCGTTCCGACAGCCGAGCGGCCGGGGAGGAAACCTGCTGCTTCGTGCTCACAAAGGACCTGTCCCACCTGCTAATGCACATCCTGGACAACAACTGCAGTTATTAGAAATCCCACTGCACGTGTTGTTTTGGCTGCTGTTTCGTTCTGCTGGAGGACCTGGAGAACCAGTCCCGGGATCCTGGCCCAATCCTTAGCGAATCGTGGCTGTGTCTCCGAGCCGCGGCCGTGCGGGATGGTGCTGGGGTGCGGAGACGCCCTCCCCATGAGCAGCTCCCGGGAGGCTGCCCGGGCTCCTCTCCTCCCTTCACGACCCGTGTCCTCGCTCGGCGCGGCGCGGCCCTCGCGCTGCCCTTTCCGTCCCCTCAGCCGCCACGTGGCGTTTCCTGCAGCCGCTCCTGCCCTCCAGCCCCGCCGCAGCGCGTGGTGCCGTGGGATGGAACGAGCCTGCACAAAACCCCACACACCAATTTAGGGCTGGAGACGTCCATGAAGATTCATACTTTACAAGACCCAAGGGGACGTTTTGGATCATCTAGTCTTGTCATTCTGTTTAACTCAGTCCAAAGAGCCTCACCCAATAATTTCTGTATCAGATCCATAATTTCCACTGGAGCCATATCTAGGGTCACGGCAAACATTTTAAGAGGCAGGGAGTCCAGCTCGGACTCCTGGCTTCGAGAGGAGCTATGGGGAGCACAGAACATAATTGCCTGTAAATCCTTTTTCCCTCTGAGGGCCACAAATGACCAACCTCTGCCCAGCACGTTGATCAGCCCTGCCATCAGAAGGGACAAGGATAGCTCCAAAACAAGCTGCTTCCTAACTTATTTCCAGGGACAAGAGTTTCATTCTTTGTGAATCCTGAGGCTCTGTCCAAGCTGGAAATAAAAAGGACATCTTAATGGGACTGGGTGTTTTTTTAAAAGCATTTCCTGCTAACACTGTTTAAACACCGGCCACTGTGGAACAGGCAAAACAGCTTCAAGTGTCTAAAAAATAAAAATAAATTAAAAAACAATGAGACTCCAGCCCCTTTGGCAAACATTTGAGAAGCAGCCTGATCTGGTGGGTAGATCTGGGTCTCTGAGGAGCCCTTGCCCACCTGTGCCACATTTACTGCATCACTCGGACCAGGTTGGAGCAGCTCGGCACTCCTCAGTTTTCCCAAATGCTCAATGGCAATAAAAGCACTAATTTCGCTCTGCACCCGACTGCTGTAAGGAGGCTGTGATGAACAGGCTGGCTTTGGCGCTCCTTTACGCCACGTGGCAGAGCTGCAGGGGAACACCAGGCCCACGGGAGGCCATGGGATCCACAGGGAAGCCCCCAGCCCCAGCCGGCGCAGAGGGAAGGCTCTTTGCTGCACTGCAGAACGATGCTGCAACCACCAAGCCGAAACGCACAGAACGGAGCCTCGCGAGGACAACCGCGGCCTCGGAAAAGAGGCAAAGCAGCCATGGAATAATCGGGATTTGCAGACTTCACAGCGGGTGTAATGAAGAACAGAAAGCAGAGCAGCGACCCAAGGGATGCGCGGAGGGACTTGGAGCTGGCTCTCTGAACCCCTCGCACTGGAACATGTTGGATGGATTTAATTATCCCTAAACTCACGCTGGGTGTTTTGTCTGCCTCAAACATCTCCACTGAAGTCAATCCCAGCCCTTCCCTTGGCAGCCAGCTCCAAACTGCTCTTTCCTCATTCAACCCTTTGCTGCAGAGATCACCCCGAGTTCTCCTGCGCCCTGGGGACGTCTGGTTGCTTTGGAGCTGTTCTCCCAGCCCAAATTGTCTTGGAATATTCCTGAACCCTCCGGTCAACTTTACTGCTGCAAAAAACAACTTCTGATCGCACGGGCCCCGTGTCACTGCGATTTCGTTTCCCCCTGCAGCAACAGTACCATCTTTGTGCGCAAACACCGGGACACAAACAAGCAGGGCTTGTAGGACAAACCTCCAAGGGTGGCCACCCTGCTGGCACCTCTCCCCCTGCGGAGAGCTGCCAGACAGCCCCAGTCTGGACGGGGCTCCAAGCCTTCCCAAAAATACCAGGTGCCCAAAGCGCCGTCTTTGTGCGGGGCAGCCGGGGCCGCGGGACGCCCGGGCTCAGCCCTCTCTCCTTCCCGAGCCCAGCAGCGTCCCGAGGCCCGCAGGGATCTGCCAGCGTTCCGGAACCGCGGCCGGTGGCATCCAGCGGAGCCTTGGGAAGGGACTCGCTGCCTCATAAACGTGTTTTTCTGTGCATCTAACTCCACCTGCCTCAGTACTGGGGTGGCAATACGTTCAGGAGAAGCAGAATTTAAAAAAAAATGATAATTTAAAAAGTCAGGAAAAAAAAAAGAGAGAGAGGGAATATGCAGAGACAGAGAGCTTTGGAAAGGTGGAAAAATACCAGTTTGGGGCATCTAGATGATCCAGGCTCTGGAGAAGGAAACCAGACAAAAAGCTAGACACACAGGTAACAACATTCCCACAGGCTTGGAGAGCTCGGTCCCCCCTGCAGACATGTCTTGTATCTTGATGTTCCCATGCTGTGGAACCATCATTTTAGATGTTTTCAGAGCATGTTCCCATGGCTTGCGCAGGTAGGAAAAGCAGCTCCTCATCAGACCCGAGCCAGCAGGGAGACGGGATGGGCAGGTCCTGCTTTGGCTGAGGGCATGGAGGGAAGGTGCCTCCAAGAGGGGCTGATTTTCCCCTTTGGGAAGGGGGAGAACTCACGGCCAGGGGCGTTTGGGAAAGCCAAAGGTCTCCCAGGGATTTGAAGCGGAGTGGGCAGACATCAATGAGGAGCCAAAGTGGCCCCGTGTCCTTGGGCCCAGGCCATGCTAGCCTGCAAGGAGAGGAAGGAGGTGTCACCAGCGCCGGGCCAAAGGCTCTGGACCTTCAGAGCCACCCGTCCTGCCTTGCCTCCCTTCCCGTCCTGCCCAGACCCCTGCTCCGCAGGGTGGTGCTGAGCCGGGTGCCACCTCCGGCCAAGGTCCCCGTGCTGGTGGCGTTGGTGTCGCTGCTGCCTTCGCGGAGCCGCGGCCAGCGGGCACGGGCCCACGGAGCAGGGCTCAGCCCTTCACAACCACAGCTGGGCTTGAGGGGACAGTGGAATATTTCGAACCGGGAATATTTCCTGTGCAGCGCTCCTCATGCAGCAGAACTACTAGTGCTGACAAAAATAAAGATGAAACATGGAAAAGACCGGCCTCAGTGCTGTAGCAAAACAGCTCTGACCTGCAGAACCAAAACAACACCCCAAATCTATATTTATACTTAAAAAAAAAAAAAAGTGTATTTATTTGCTTAGCCCACAAGGGCCTCCAAGAAGGAGGGGAAGGGAGCCAAGCATTTGCAAATTCCTAGGCACCGTGGATGTTTGCACACTGTTAATCAATTAAGACAGAGGATCTGAGGCTAGTCCTGCCTCTGCCGAGCTGCCCTCCAGCCCCGCACAGGGCCGTGCAGGGCCCGGGCGTCCTGCCCGCCCCAGGGGACACGGCAGTGTCACACGGGGCCACCCCCGGGCGCCGCGAGGGCTCCAAGCACAACCAGCTGGGAGCCCGGGGGCCTCTCCCGCTGCACGGCCAGGTGCCAGCCCTGGAAGGTGCCAACTGGCGCCCGCCGCAGGAATGTGCTCACCGAGCCTTGGAAATCAACATCATTAGGAGAAAGAACTTCCTTCTATTACAGGTTTGTGCCCGGAGTAGCAGAGCTGAGAGGCAGACGCCTTTCCCCCGGTCGCTGTGTCCCGACGCCGTCGCAGCAGCACCAAATGACAGAGCATCCTCCGGGCTCGCTCACGGCGTCTGCACCTGAAACACAGGGGTGAGAGCGCCAGCCCCAGCCCAGCCCCACAGCGGCACGTGGAGCTACAACGGGGGGAGGACAGGGAAACCTGCCCCCGAGGCGGGAAGGACACACACGGGGTGCAGTCTGTACAGCCTAAACCCCAACGGGGCCCGTCCCGGGAACACGCACGGGCTGCGTCTATTTATGGACCGAGTCTGCAGGGCCCTCTACCTTTTTGCTCCGCTCTGACTCACACTGGAAGAAATCTCTGCAGAAATAGCAAGATGCTAGCCAATGCCCCTTATATAGGGATGGGAAAAGCAAGCACGAGCAATATCAAGTAGCAAGTACACTCAGGGAGGGAGCACAGATATGCTACCGAGCTGCAGCATCCAACAAAAACAGGCTGCCTGTTAAATCTGACCAGCATGTTCCTCCCGCACAAGTACGGCTCTCAGACAACTTTCGGGAATGGCTCAGCACATGATTTCAAGTAGGACTAAAGCAGACAAACCTGCTTAAGAAAAATCCATCAGTGGAAAGAAAAGGGTGATTTGGGGGGTGATCTTCCTTCTCCTTTTGCAGTCTTTCACACAGCTGCTGCTCAGCCTCACTAACGACCCTCGCTCAGAGGGCACGCGGTCCCGATCAGCCCAGAGGGATGAGGAAGGAAAGCAGGAGATCTGGGAGCCACCACCCCTGGCACTGGGGTGGCTGCTGAATCTCTTGGTTCGGCATAAGCAAAAGCCCCCGGTGGGATTGCTGTGACCAAAGCATTGCAAAGACTGCAGAAAGGACAGCAGGAAGCGCCGCGGCGGGTCAGCGCAGGAGGAGCTGCAGCTCCTGCAGCAACAGCAGGTCTCAGGAGAGCACGCAGGGCTCACTCCATGCCGAGGAGCTTGCAGGGCGCCGCACGCCAGCGCTGGAGGCCTCACACGGCCTGGTTTGCACCCAGGTCCCACGTTACATCACCAGCGGGCCAGGCCCGTGCGCCCCGCGGGCTCGGCGGAACCCACACTCCCGCTCAGAAGCCCTCTCTCCCCCCAGGTTAGTCATGCATAAGGAGACCATTCAAAGTGACATCTGCGCGGCGCGCGCTGCCAGGCCGTTTGCATAACCCCGTCTGGCGCATGCTCAGCGCCGCGGCCTCACTCCTCCTCGCAACAATGGAAAAACCCAGACATCGCGGCGAATAAGCTGCTCTGTGTCCTAAGGCAGCCCTTGGATTTCCTGCCTTTCTCGAGGCTGTCTCGCCCTGCACAAGCTCCGCCGGGGCTGCGCGGCCAGCAAGTGCGGCGCTCCACACGCTCGCAGTTATGCGCTGCCTCTCAGCGCTTCGTGCAGCCAGGACCTGGCTGGAAACCAGCTCCAAATGTTCCCTTCCAAAGCCCGGCCTGGCTGGGAAGCTCCCCCGGCGCTCGCAGCGGTGGCACCCAGGCTCACGGCTGTGCTTTGGCCCTTGCTCCGGGAGGAGGGGACACCCCCTCGGGTAACGCGGCTGCTCGGGACAGCCCCGCGGATCCCGCTGCTTTGCTTCCAACACCCGTCCCTGTCCCCAGCACCCGCCGCAGGGTCGTGGCACCAGGCGGAGCGTCGCTGTCCTCCGGCTGCGCCTCCGCCAGCCTGGGCCCCACCGCTGTCCTCGGGCCACCTCTGGATGTCTCATGGGCTGCTGGCTCATAGGAAAGACACAGTGACAAAAAAACTAATCTCTTTAAAAAAACTAATCTGGCTTTCTTGGCCAGCTCCCTGGTACAATCCGGATCTGCAAAGCCTGCACCATAACTCTGCGCTGTGAGCACAGCACAGTGCTGGCAACCACTGGCACGGCCCTTTCCGCTCCCAAGCTCTCCAGGCCCTGCTCAGGACGGAGGCAGAGCCCCAGGAACTGCATCCCGCGGGCGCAGATGCTTCTCCCGGGCCTGGGCTTACGCAGAGCCCAGCAGTCTGAGCAAAGCTCCCGCGCGGGCGCCCGGGATGCGCAGCCGCGCTCCCCATTGCAGCATCCCAACGCTGCCAGCCTGGGAGCAACGGGCTCTCCCACCCCGCTGATAAACCCGGCACGCTCAGCTCAGCGGGCACTGAGCGACTCTGCACCTCTTCTTCCCGACCGCTGGCCTCCGCGTTGCAGAGAGGAAAAGTACCCCGTGCTCAGCCCCTCTGCAGCGGGGCCGGGCGGGACGGAGGACGCTCCGCTGCCTGGTGCCAAGGGGTTAAGCTCACAGTAAGTTCCCAACGTCGGTTGCTTCCAACTGGCTGCTGCCTGCGGTTTGTGGGAAGGGATTTTGTTTTTTAATAACATTATAAATAGGGCTGTGTTCAGCATGCTGCAAACCCAGTCACTCTCTCTCTCCCAACCATCTCTCTCCTCCTCCTGCTGCTGCTGTTTCCCTTCCTGCCACACTAATTCCAGATCTGACCATGAATCGGTCAGGCTTCTTCCTCAGTGTCCTCAGCCTCCTGGCGTGCCTCGCCTCCGTCCTGCAGGCATGTCCCCCGAGCTGCCACTGCCACGGCGGGGACCTGCAGCACGTCATCTGCGACAACGCCGGGCTGCGCAAGATCCCCAAGGTGCCCGAGCAGACGCGGCTCCTCAACCTGCAGAAGAACAACTTCCCCGTGCTGCCGACCAACGGCTTCCGGGACATGAAGAAGCTGGTGTCCCTCCACCTGCAGGGCTCGCGCATCAAGGAGATCTCAACGGGAGCCTTCCGCGGGCTCAAGAGCCTGGTCTACCTCTATCTCAGCGACAACCAGATCAGCGTCATAAAGTCGGGAGCCTTTGACGACCTGTCTGAGCTCACCTACCTGTACCTGGACCAGAACAAGATCCCAGACTTGCCCAAAGGACTCCTCTCCCCTCTGGTCAACCTGTTTATCCTGCACTTAGGCAGCAATAAAATCCGGGAGCTGAAACCAGGGGCCTTCAACGGTGCTAAAGACCTGCGCTGGCTCTACCTCTCCGACAACTCCCTCACCAACCTCCTGCCTGGGGCACTGGAAGATGTGGAAAACCTCGCTGTCCTCCACCTGGACAAGAACCAGCTGAGCAGCTACCCTGTGAACGCAATGAGCAAGCTGAGGGTGCTGGAGGAACTGAAGCTCTCCCACAACCCCATCGAGGTCATCCCTGACAACGCCTTCCAGTCCTTCGGGCGCTACCTGCAGACCCTCCACCTGGACAACATGAAGCTGCAGAAGGTGAGTCCCCTCTTTGCTTCTGATAAGTAACAGAGGGCTCGATTCCCTTCTTTTCAGAGCCCTCCGTTCCCCGGCCGTTCCCCAGGGCGGGGGGGATCCAGGCTTCCCCTTGGCCTCACGAGCCAGCTGGCAGCCCCTGTCAGGGCCAAAGCGAGGGGCGAGACGAGGGAGGAGCACTCTAGCCTTCAGCTGGGCTGCTCTGTGCAAAACCAAGTTATCTGGGGATCACCAAACTCCTTGGAAAGTGTCGTGTTCCCTCCCGAGCTGCAGGTTATCCAAAAGGTATTTGGGATGCTCCAGGACAATTAGCAACCCTCCAGCATCCCACACACGACACGGGATGAAGCAAGCATGTGCCTTGGACGCAGGGCGCGGAAGGGCACGGCACCCTACAGAGCTGAACTGTGCTCCCTCAGTTCAGCCTGGGTACCTGGTGCTGCCCAGGAGGGAGCGATTCCTCGCGAGGGCTCAGGAATAGCAGCAGTTTCACTCGTGCCTTTCACACAGGTACGAACCTTCGCCTCCCCCATGCCTTCCCACTCGGCGTGTTATAAAGGAAGGTTTGTTTATTGATGCACTCGCAGAGAAACTCCTGCAGCATCTTACAAAGGGGCCCTGTTCCTACCGGAGAGGAGGAGGGACATGCAGGTATCCTGGCAAAACAGCCCCCTTTTTCCATAAGGAAAAGCGTAACGGGCAGACAGGAGCATCACACTCGGAGAGCCGCTTGGAAATAGGACCCCTGAAATGCCAGGCAGCAGGGCAGGCATGGAAACAAACACAGGACAAGAAGGGCAGCATTTATGGCAGCCTCATGTCCTACATGTACTGTGCAAGGCTGCAAAAAAAGGGTGCAGAACAGTTGTCCCTGGGATGATCCTTTGCTAGGAAGTGCAAAACAGACAAAGCACATCCAGGTAAGGCAGGGTAGCAGCTCAAGGCAAAGCCAAACTGACCACGGACAAGCAGTTGCGATGAAAAGGGAATTTCTGAGCAAAGAAGGAGCAGTTCAAAATGCCTCGCAGGGTTAAACAGATCACTTGTGAAGAAAAGGAGAGACCTATTGAAAGATGCCAGTAACAGCATGGCATTTTCAATGGGAATGCAGCATCCCAAAATGCCAGGCTCAGAAACTAGAATTACAGCTTGTCCAGGTGGGGAATGACACTAACACTCTGGTACCACCCTGTCCATGTTTGAGCTCTTGTCCATTCTCAGGATTGGAATAGCCAAACTCAACATTTATAACTTTCACAGCGACCACCCAAAAAAAGACCCTCATACAGTGGATATTTAGACATGCTATCACGTCACTTTTGAGAGACTCAGCTTCTAGGCACCTACATCACACACAAGTCAAGAGTTTGCAGTTTAAGTGTGGTACAAGATGTACTTGTGGCTAACCCATGACGCTGGAACGCTCAGAAGTATCCTTAATTCCATTAAAGCAGCCTTTGAAAAACTTGGCCTGTGCAAATCCAGTCTTTGGTAGGAACGATCCAGTCAACTGGAAGACCGTATAAGAACAGAGCTTGATTAGTATCTATTAATCCTTATTCTGCTCACCCTCAAGATTTCTAGCTAGATGCACACGATCCTTTTTGATGGTGTGTATGGCCTCTGCCCAGGCAAGCAGAATACCTTCCTTCCTTGCTAATCTTCTAATCCAAACAACCTCTGGGATCATCACAGTTTGAGGAACTCAGCACAGCACTGTAAGGCAGACAGTTAAGTGTTTCTCTGTAGGAGACAGTGGAAAGGACTCTAAGATCCCAGCGACACTGCAGGGATTTGCATAAGGATTTAAGGACTAAACAGAAAATCAGTTATCACTTCTCCACAGAAACAAAGCCTCCTCTACAGTGACTACCTAGAGATGCCGCCTTTAAGGGCTTTTCTGCAGCCCATTTCCTCCCCTGTATCTCAGAAAGACACCAGTTTACTAGATTAACTCTGACTGAGGTGGCCGTTACAGCTTTAGGGATTATTTATTTTTCCCCAGAACAAAAAGCTCTCATACCTGCTCAGTTTTCTCTTCAAACCTTCAGGAGGCCTTTTATCCAAATGACCTGTAAATCAACTTTGCACTGTTAGATGACAATCATAGAAACAATATGACCTAGTAAATCACTACTGAATACTCCAAATGCTGCTGCTATCTTGATTACAGCTATTTTTCCTTCATAAAAATACAGTCCTTAGCTGTTCCCTGTATGGTTGCAAGATTTTAGAGCTGACCAAGTGCAGAACTATTTCACCTGAAGGTATTCCAGTTTGAAGTCACACTCATACAGCACAAGAAGAGCTCTTGGGCCATTCCGCACCTCCCAGGCTACACAGTTTCCCCATGCACAGTCCTTCCTGCCCGCATCACAGACTCGTACCGGACACTTACAGGAACACCTCTCAGTGAGCAAGCTGTAAATCAAAAAGAAACACGGAAATTCAGTCCTTGAGGGTTGTAAGTATATCCCTTACTACATACCCACTGCAAAAGAAATTCAGGCATTGCCAGAGAAAGCAAACAACAACAGTAATCCTCCATTTAAATAGTGATTTTCACTTGGGAAATCCCCCAAATTCCTTATAAATACATACGCTGGGAAGACGCACTGCAGCTGTTACCAGCAGATCTTGACTCCTGTCATGAGATCACGGAGGTCAGAAGCTGGGGCAGAAAGTCCTCATCCAAAGCAGGCCGTAGCCAGGGTGTCCAGGCTAACACCCTTGCTGCAGAAGTGCCTCAGTCCCCCTGGGCAATGTAAGTAGCCAAGGATAAGACTCATATCTCATTTAAAAGGCAGTAAACCCTACCAAGGTCAGGTCAGACCTGGGCCACAGAGGACAAAACTGCTAACTTTCCAACGGTAATTGTGTGGCACTCTGGAGACTCTTAGAAAAACTATAATCCTATCCAACATTGCCTAATTTGGAAGATCACAAAAGTTCACAGCTGAAAATGTTTCTGCTGTCAAGGTTTTTTAGCCTCAAGAGAGCCTGCACACACCCTGATGGCCATGTCTGCAGTGTGACTGAACGCGTGAGCTTCTGGCCAGAAAGGGAAGCGCAGGTTCTTCCTCGGAGGAGTTTCACATAGACCCGGTGGATCTCCTCGCGCTGCTGGCAAAGCGTTCCCCGGCTTCAGAAGGGCAGAAAGGCTTTGCCATGGCCAAGGGAAGCTTGTGCTTTGTCAACAACCCTCCCGCTAACTCATCACATCCAAGGAGGTTTGTGTTGATGCTTTCAAGAGGAAGATTGCCAACCTAAGCAACTATGGCCTAAGAAAAGCTAGATATGAGGCCTAAGGAAGAGAGGGTGGCAAAGTAGGGCTTACAGCTGATCTTTCTTTGCTGCACGGAGCTCCTGTTCTGAGTGCATGAAGCAGAAGAGCTCCCTTAAAGCCCACCTGTTACTTCTGGAAACACCCATCTTGCAGCGGAGGCCGAGGCGCTGGAGACGGCCTCGCTGTCTCTACCTTGCTCTGGGGCCAAGTGTAACTTTCCGCTCGGAGCCACTGGGCACTGCCAAAGTCCACAGGCCCTTCAGACGCCACAAACACTCCCTCCTTCACCAGGTCCAGCAGGGAGAAGCAAGCGGCACTGGGAGGACTTCCAGCCCTGGAAAGGATTATCCCTATAAAATATCCTCATTTAGAAAGGAGAAGCGCGGTTCACAAACAAAGCGGGCTGCCAGGCTCCGCTGTGTTTAGGAACGCGGCTGCAAGGAGCAGCCCTGTGGTGGGCAGCTCCACCAGCCCCATTGCTGCCCCACAGCTCCCCTGGCCGCCTCTCCTCCTTTCGTGCTCTCTGGCTCTCTCCACATCAGTGCTGCTAGCAGTCTCCAGCAGAGGAAGCGAGGTTTTAGCAGGGGTTCTAACATGTATCTTTCCCTGTGAAACCCCAACCCTGTGCGCGCCAGTTTGCAGAGAACGCGTTTGCCGGCGTGACGGCGCTGAAGACGGCGCACCTGGAGAACAACCGCCTGAGCCAGCTGCCGCGCAACTTCCCCTTCGACAAGATGGAGACGCTGACGCTGTCCAGGAACGCCTGGCACTGCAACTGCCAGCTGGCCCATCTGCGCAAGTAAGAGCCCTCCCGCGCGGCCCCTGCTCCTGCGTGCGCTTTCCCGTGGCGGGCGTCCCCCTGGGGCGGCGCGGGCAGGGGCAGCCCCTCCACGTTCCCCTCGGCGCCGGCTCTCCGTGCGGGGCTGTTGCTGGCGCCTCGCGAGCTCGCGCCCCTCTCCGTGCTGCCGCAGGTGGCTCAAGGGCAACCGCACCCGCGCTGACGAGAGCTGCTCCACGCCGGCGCAGTACCGGGGACAGCCCATCCGCGACACCGCCGCGCTCCGCACCTGCAAGCTGCCCACCAAGAGGTCCAAGAAGGGCAGCCGCCACTAAGCACGTAAGGTGGGCGCCGCTTCCAGCAAACCCTGACGTCCCCTACGTTAGCGGGACTTCGTCTCGGTGACACTGAGGTTTGGGTCCATAGGGTTCACGCGTGGGCCTGCCGAGGCCTTCACTAGGACCGCTCCATCTCCTTGGCAATAATACCATGGAGAGAGGATCTGCCTGAGCAAGTGGGGTGAAGGCAACTCCATAAAACAGTGAGAGACAGGCCTTGGGAGCAAGCAGGGGCACAACTTGGAATTAGGTGTCAAAAAAGGGTGGGTTTGATGCATTCCTATCCTGAGCAGGGATCACACACACTTAATTTTCCAACAGTTTGGAGGTGTTTGGTCTTTGGCCCCTCCTTTAAATCTGGTATAAGCCATAAAGATCCAAACCACCTGCCAAGCCAGAACCCACAGGCCGTCTGCAGAAACCGATGGTTACGGCGTTGTCTCCAAGGAGGGGGCATCGACAGCAGTCCTGGCCAGGAAGAGCTCAGGCCACAGCGCTCCGGACGCGCTCGCGTCCTGGTACAGGTCCTCCCAGGCCTGGCCTGAAATCCAGGGCACGGCACTGCAGGGAAAGCTGGACCCAGGTATCTTCCATAGGGAGCCGTTCCCAGGCCAGCACTTACCTGTCAACAAGTACAAATCCCCATTCAAGACACTCAGGTATTTAAAAACAAGGGCTTGTGCCTCGAATGTCCCAGAGGAGAGAGGTTTGAGACAGTAAATACTATTTGAATAAGGTGTTCTGGGCCAGAAGGCAATGCAGGAGAAAGGGCTGACTCTCCTCTGAGCCATGAACTTGCTGACATCTGTCAGCCCAAACACCAGATGTGCAAGAATATCACACAAACACCCTCAACAGCTGAGAGCTGCTAGGAGTATGAAGTGCAGAACACCGGCTAGAAGAGGCCGCAGCTGTCAGCACTGCAGGCATTTTGGTTTTGCTCCCCATCCCAGCACCAGCGCAGAAGCTCGCATGCATTCCAGAGAGCTCGGGATGAGCCTCCGAGCTTGTGCCCACAGGAAAGGTAAAGTGCAATGACCCTGTGTTGCACTGTAGGAACAAGAGTTGTCACAATGCCATTTCCTAATAAAAGGGACTAGACAGAAGCCTGAAGTCCATTTATGGCCATTTGCTCCCCAATTCATTAGGGATATGCATAACAGGATGGAGAAAGTAGATTTATGCCCAAAATGTCAGGGATGATGCCAGCTGCTCTGCTCCTTCCTAAAGCGGTTATTTCTCTTGTAGTGCCAGAGGTTTTATGGACTGGAAATGGAAATACCAGTCGTTCCATACAGGGCGGGTAAAGTTCCGCACTAAGGATGGAAAAAATTCAGTTTTATAAACCACAATACTGAAAATATATTTTATTTACAGTCCTGGCCCTTCTCAACTTTCTTCTCTCCCTGCCTAAACTAAATCCCAATTCACTCTTCCATTATGAAAGTAAAAAAAGAATGTTACCTGTTTTTTGTATAGCACCCACCATGCAACACTCCTAAATAAGCTGACAGTTTTTACTGAAACATTGAACTATTCACTGTACAAAAGGCAGGGCTGATTACCTTCAGGTGTGTGTACCAAAATGCAGGTATGGAAACCCACTCCAGACACAAGTCTGAGGATGATGAGGTACCTTCAGCCTCTCTGATTTCACTCAGGCATCTCAGAGCCAGGCAGCTTTCTCAGCTGTCAGTTATTGGGATATATATTTTTGGGACTACCAATGATTTGGGTCACTGTTCAGGGACCGCCTTTTAGGTGAAGGTTTGTTTGGAAAAAGCCCTTAAACGCATTAAATGTGAGTTTCTTTCTTCTGTTTATTTTTTTTGTTTCCTAGCAGGCCCTGCTATGGCCTGTCCTGGTGACTGGTCACTTCAACCATCAGAAAACTACTGACTTGTTCTGAGTCCTTCCTTAAGCTTCTCCTACCTGTCAGGATACGTTTCTGATATATCCAAACACCTCCAGCCTCCTCCGAATCCCCGCTTCTCTGCTGATTGCAGGATGGAATCCACCTTTTCAATCTTTTTCGACATCTATATATTTTAAAAGAGGCATTTTTAAAAACTAAACTATGCATGACCATACTAAGACAAGCTAACCTAGACAATGCCGGTAAAACACAGTCATCTTTCACAGAGGCAGCCGAACCCGCATCCCTGATCAACCACGTTGTCTCTGTCTCTCCCCTTCCAACAGAGTGGAAGTGAGTGGGGAGGTAGGAGCATTCCCCACAGCCCGGCCCCAGCCGCTCAATCAGGAAAGCCCATGGGCTCAACCCATGCAAAGAGCCTCCTCTGCCACCACGGAGAGGATCCCTGCAGGTCAGGGCTGAGCACGATAGCTGAAGCAACGTCCAGGCGGTCCTGAGAGAGCTCCGCGTTCGTTCCGAAAGGGAGCAGTCGCTCTAGGTCAGTTGGAAATCTCTAAGAGAAGCAGTACTGGGAAACCCTGACCCCAAAGCAATCTGAATCAGATTCCCCTCTCACTATGGGGGTCTAGCAAGACGCATAGATGTCCAGGAGGAGGTGTGCGTACGTGGCCTTGCCTGGGCACCCCTCCTCCTCTCTGCCCACACTCCAGAGGATGGGGCAGGACGCACCAGGATGACTGTGGTTTATTGTCATGGCTATTACAATACCACAGTTTCAACTTAACTGTGTTTTTTTATCCTAAAGAGTTATATAAATATATATATATTTATTCCTCTGTAACTGAGTGTAAATGACCTTTAAGAGGATGAAACCTCCTCTGTCTCCTATATAGAAACCAAATTGTATATTTTCTTATGTACATCTTCTGTATAAAGCTCTTGCTGCAAAGATGAATTCAACAAGTCTCCCTGCGTCTGTCTGACAGCTGGTGTGTCAGAAGTAACGTGAGTGGTCGTACAAATATAGGCTTAGTCCTTATCCTATGGGCAGGGTGATTGCTCGGGAGAGAAGAGTTTTATTATTGTGCCTTTTGCAAAGCAGGAATATGCAAGACACCTACTGCTGTCTGGCATATTGGCCACCATAGTAATGGCTGAAGATATTTTGTGGGGCCAAACACAGGCCTGCTATAAGGAGAGGTGGCTGCCACCTGGCTGAATCCAGGGAAAGGTACCAGAGCTGTCCCTGGTGTTTTGAAATCAGCATCAATTGCTTCATGTCTAGGAAAAACCCTGGCTCTCCTCAAGATTGCTCCAGCACAGATGCCCTGGGCTCCCCAAGTCCATTCCAGAGCACAGAGTCATCCTTGGAAACCTCCTGCTACTGGCAAGGTCCAGATCTGCCAACAACAACAGGCGCAATCTGACTCCTAGCCCCGTGTGTTTATCCACCACAACAGTCTGCTTCCTCAGCATTCCCACCCAGCATGGCACTGAGGCCCAATTCATTTCCTTTAAAGCAAAACAAAAAAAGCCGTTTCTGTCTTCCTCATTCATGCACAGACACACACTCCTGAAGAGTAAAGTCAGACATCAGATGAGCAGGTACCTGTGACACCCCAGCTGTCCACCTCCTACAACATGTGTCACCCCAGTCCCAGGGACCTGCTCACTGGTGTCCTGTCCCCTGGCACATGCAGGACATGCCGAGGCTCATGCGCAGGCCTGAGGGTGCACGGACATGCCGCGGAGCACGAGCACACGCTGCAGCGGGGCAGGCCTCCCCCGGAGCTGCAGGGGTGGCTCTTGCCGTGCTCATGCTCAGGGTCTCACATGGAGCGTGCACAAGGGTTAACATCTGCGTGCAATCCAGGGGGTGAGAGAAACCTGCTAGTTCCGCAGCAAAACGAGCGTGTGCATCCACTCACACCAAACGGATCAGAAATCCCTCTTCCATAATAATTCATCCTTGCAGCATGTACAGTGAGGAAACAGAAAGGTTTACAAACTTGGAGACACATCAACAGCAGCTCAGCCTGCAGCACGGAAGGTAACACCTTCCCTCCCTCCTGAGACCCTGCAGCTACCCAGCAGAATCCCAGCTTGTCCTCCCAGCCACGCTCTATCCTCTCCCGGCCTCATGGCCATGATCCCGTCACCCCTGGCCACTGGGGCTCAGGGGGTGCTTGTCACCATGGCATGCAGAGGCATTTGCAGGGCCTCAGCATGACAAAATGCAGCAACCAGGGAGGGACTCACCACAATCTCCGGCATGTGCATTTTTGTCATAATCATCTTCATGATTTCAGGGGGAACAGGGGAACCTGCAATGACTCCTGGAAGGAAGAGAGAAAGAATTGTCTTGGAGACCATCTCTCCAGAGGAGCAGTTCTTCAGGAGGTTCTGTGCTCCCACATCTAAATGCTGGCAAGACCTTTGGGATACACTGGTTCCTGTCAAAATACTCTATTTTTATGGATGTGGGCCCTAGTTATTCTAGAAACAAACACTGCAGCAGTAAGGCCAGTTTGCCTGTATGAATCAAGGGCTGGCAGAGTTCACTTGTGAGGAAAATAAACTCTATAGCACAACCTCAGTCCAAGCTGTGGTTCCAGAAAAGGAAAGATTCAGAGCAGAAACAGGCAAAACTCCTACAGGACAAAAGCACTCCCATAGACATGACAAAAGTAAGAAGCTTTCCTCCTGCCTTGAGGAGACCAGGCCTTCAGGGAGAGGGCAGATCACATTTTCCCCTGTTCAAATATGTCCTAGGAAGGCAGTGAGTGCTACATATGCTTTTCTGAGGAATGAGGCAAGACAGGATCATTTCCCACATAACAGAGACGATCCAATATCTGCCTATGTGCCTCTTTGTGCTCCAGCACCATCTTTTCTAGGTGTTGCTGTTGCCTCTAAAGGGCAGCACAGGGGATCTCCCTGCTTCAGTTGCTGTGCTCAGCTGTCTCTGAGGCCGTCCACGATAAGAGAAGCCCCACGTTTTCCATTGCAATCCATACGAGTGTTTTTAGAAAGGGGCAGGACGCTCCAGGTCAGGGTGCAGCAGAGCTGCCCGGCTCTGCTGCAGGCTCTGGGCAGCCCCTATAGCACACGTACGTGCCTGCTGCCGCACGGCGGCGGCTGCTGGTATCGGAGCGCTGCAGCCTCCGTTGCAAACAAACCAGAAGGCTCCTTCCCTTAGGGGAGTGCTAAAAACATGGAATTCAAAGTTTAAGGCATAAACAACCCCCTGGTGACCTCCCTCCCGAAGGGGAGCCAGCAATCCCCAATTTCTCAGCGTGTTGCTCTGGCCCTTTGGGGTGTCAGGCTTACCTCCCCGCAGGGACGACAAGTCGTAGGAGTTGAAGTCTGGCTGGGAGAGCATATCTATAAACATGGTTGGAGTGCCATACAGAAAGGAGCATCTTAAGGAAGGGAAAAGACAAAGTGAAGAGTTAGAGCTTGGCATAGAAGTGACTTAATGCCTCACTTCTCACTGCAGCTGGTGCCACCGAGACGGTGGCACAGAGGAGGGGCAGCAGACGTGTTGTGCATCACTGCACGTGCCTGTGCTTGCACAGACAATGGCAGCACCTGTGTTTTACAAGGTGCATGTGGAGCACACGTGCCCCAGACAACACGCGTGTGCCACAGCGGGAGGGAAGAGGACGCGAGCAGTGCTCAGGCACCAGAGACATGGTGGCACCACCACGCAATGCCAAACTCTTCTACAGCAAAAGGCACAAAAACTCACTTCTCTCTCGACACTGCCTCCAGTGCAGCCTTTCCCTCGAAGCTGGGAGATGAGAAGATGCAGCAGGAGCCATGCAGGGCGGTCACCATGCAGCCTCCCACAGAGCCCAGGCAGTGGTAGAGGGGAGCGGGGATGCCGATACGATAGTCCTGGTACGAAGGCGAACAGAGACGTCAGCGAGGAACGAGACCTTCCCGCCTGTGCTCAGCACACCCACAGCTGGAGTACGCGGCTCCGAACACAGGAACCGCTTCATTTACAACTTGCTGGAAATTTAACGTTCATCTTTGCTCCCCTTAGGTGGGAACACTACTGCTGGCAGTTCTTGCATTCCATAAAAACAGCTTAGGAAGTTTTTCATGTCAAAATTTCATTTTGGAATTCTGCAGTGTCATTTACATGTTGGACTTTTCAGTCTGATTTTACTTCCACATTATTTCATGACATGCCAGAAGAGCTATACTGCTACAACAGGTATCAAATATACACCATGCGGGATCTGACACATGCTAATAATATTATTTTGTTTTTTAAAAAAACGCTAAAGGCTCTGAAGACTGATTGAAACAAGCCATGTTCTTTTCTGGATCAAAGCAATTGTGTTACAATAAACTACTTTGGAACTTCAAAGGGAAATATTTGCCCTTAATGATTTTTAAAAGGAACTGGAAATAGAAAACGTCAGCAACTAGGTCGTACGTATCCTGATAAGATTAATGAGACTGCATACATGACATGAAATGAACTTATGCAAAACAGATTTTACAAGCTCATTCAACAGAATTGAAAGCTAACCTTTACAGTCTCATAACTGTCTGAAATGAACAGTCACCAAAATGGAAAGTGATTCACAATCTTGTTTCCCACAAAATGGTAACATAAATATGTTTTTATTCATTTATTTATAACACTTCAATTTCAGTAAAAATAAAAAAACACCATGAAGGAAGAACACAGAGAAACTTTTGGACTGTATGCCTTTCCATTCTTAAGCTATGCCCGTGTTCATCTGGGGAAATTTGCTACCTGCAAAGCTCAAGCTGTTTGTTACAAAAAGAAAAAAGAAACAAAACAAACATACAAAAAACCCCACCAGCAACACCAAAAGTGAACAAACCCAAGCTGAGGAGAATTTCTGTTTCTCTGTATCCACACGGTTCCTCTTCAATGCACTCCTATCCCTCCATAGCACCTGCAGCCAAACACGCGGCCTCCCCGCGCCAGCCCTCCCCACATCCCTGCTCTCCCCGGAGCGCCGACGCAGCCCCACGTTCCCAGCGGAACACCCACCTGCTCCGAGACGCCCAGCCTCATGCCAATCAGGTTCGCATTATTCACAATGTTTCTGTGAGAGAGGGTGGCTCCTTTTGGGCTTCCCGTTGTCCCCTGGAACACAAACATACAATATAGCTGAATAGATAATACCATCCATTCAGAGCATGAGGCACATGGTTCTTTGGCACAATTTCCCAGGCAAAGATTCTGATGATCTTGCACTTTATTTTCCATTCAGACTTGGGAATCTTCATCTTTTTTTATTCCCCCTCCATGTGACACCCTTTATCTTCATTTGCCCTTGGCAACGAATGGCAGATGTAAGGGACAAGTCCTAAAACACTTTCTCCACCCTACACCAGAGGTCTGAAATTAAATGGAACCAAGATTGGTCTCAGGAGGCAGAAGGCAAAGGCATGCTCTGCACCAATGCTGAGGGAGCCAAGCCCAAGGCCCAGGAGCACCTACTGAAGTGAACTGGATGTTGATGGGCTCGTGGCAGGACAGGGTCTGCTGCAGGGCTCTTAGCTGCTTCATATGGCTGCTGTCCCCAGCCTGCATCACCTCGCTCATGTGGAAGGTGCCAGGCAGCCTGGAGTCCACCATAATGACAATGGATAAGTCGGGCAGCCTGGTAAAAAGAAAAACATGGACAGCGATAAAAGTTCAAGCAGTGAACTGCCTGGCCAGCTGTGCGCTGGTCAGGAACACCTCTGGGGCTGCAAACCTGTTCTCCTCAGATGAAACCCAACTACCTAACACAACAAAAAGCAGATTCGTGCAAGGCACAAACATCCAAGGATTCCTCTTACATCTATCCTCAAATCCAGAATCCCTGTTACAGGGGAGGAATCTGGAATTACATCCAAAACGTTCAGCTGAGCTGAACGCCCATGAAGGCCCCTTTGATTGATGGCTAAATCCCAAGCGACGCCCAGACGTATCAGGCAGCAGCTGGGATCTGTGCTGCAGGAGCAGGAGGGGCTGGGATCACCAGAGCTCGAGGAACTGCATGGGCACTGCCCGATACAGCATCTGCGCTGGATCCTGGGCCTGGGGAGCAGTTACACACACCCTCCTCAGCCCTAGGTCCACAAAGGGACTGCAAGCTTCCCTTGCCAGGGAAAAAGATCCTAAATACAGAGGGATGTGCCAGGGTCCCTCCTCCGCTAGGGACCTGCGATAGGCACCAAGGGGACCCAAGGCAGGACCCAGCCAGGAGATCAGTGAAAAGAGGGCACATGTTCCTAACTCACCTTTTGCTCTTTATTCCCCCTGGGCTGGATTTCTCTAGCTCGGGACATGTCTGCTTTAGGATATCATAGTATTTCTGTGTTTTAAATTGTGTGGGAAACATCAGCGCCTTACAGCCGACCTGCGAAGGGAGATAGAAATTCATCAGCAGTCACACGGGGTTCGTGCTCGGAGCAGCCTCGAGCACTGGCGCTCATGCCATGCTGGCACAGGAAGGCAAACATTTCATGGGAATTTTCCCGAGACCCGTGTCCGTGAACTTGTGATGCAATGGCCTCTCTCCAGGCTAATCTTTCTAACGCCTACCCTGCAGGAGCCACAGCGCACAGCCATTCAGACAGCCCCAGTGCTAACACAAAGGCCAGGCAGAAAAAAAATACGTGAAGAAGTTTCTAATTTGAATTATCTGAAATGAGAATGTTTGCGGAACCTCAGCCAAATGAGGAAACCTAAAGCCTGCCTCTCATGACAAGCCAAGCCTTTTTATTTATTTATTTATTTTAAGTACAACTTTCTAAGCTTTTTCAACCTCTTCCAAGAGTTTTAGCAATTCTGAAAAGTAAAACATTTTTCATTCAACTATTCATTTACATAACACTGAAACAAAGCATGCTAATTATTCCAAAGGCTTCTTTAGACTTCTCAGCAGAGCTGATATGCTGAATTTGATCCAGATTTGCAAATTGCTTTCATCGTCTAAAAGTGCATTCTTGTCATATAAACTATTTACAGAAATGAGTCACTCATTCGTTTTCTTCATTTTCCCAAGGTCCATGAAATAAGAAGACTAAGGCTACAACAGTAAATTATTTCTAAGTATCCTCTGGGGTTTGTCAGGAGGGAAGACAAACATTTGCTTTGTTTACTGGAACCATCTGCCAGAAACTCTGGAGAATATGTCAGTTCTGGGATATCTGGGGCGTTAACTTTTCACTGTTAGTCACTTCAGAATCTGATTCCATTCAACTAGCATTGCAAAACAGATGCTGTCTGAGGAGAGGAGTTTGCTGGGCAGATGTTGCATGAGAAACGGTTCTCTAGCCAGGCATTTTCTACGTGGTGCCAACCTGATTGGCAATAGACCCTTCTTCAAAGGACCTGTAATACAAAAGCCACGATGTGTTTGCTGATGCAAAGGCCTGGAAATACGACAGCAGGAATAGAGGAATCAATATGGAGGATTTGGTGCTGTGTGTAGCAGAGGGAGGGAGGCTGCTGCTGGGAGCCCGGGGTTAGCCGGGCTGGCAGGTCCAGCAGGCACAGCCTGAAAGTCCACAGGGTTTTAGTTGTGCAATAAGGAAATACGATCACCTGAGAAGAAGGGATGAGATAAAAACAGAGACCCCAGTGCCAAAGCTACAAGGTAATTCAAGAATACCAAGGAGCAAGCGTGGAGAAGGCATGTGCAATTCCCAAGGAACCTGAAGCACATTCTGCCCTTGACTCATACCCTATCAGTAAGCAGCAGCAGCTTTGCTGGGATTACCCTACATTTATACCACAAAACCAGAGAAAAAAATCTGTCATAAAAACAGGGAAATCAAAACAAAAGCCAAGTCTCACTGGAAGAAAAGCCACCTACTGTTGTCTCAAGAGTGACGTACCAAACGAAAGTCATGAATAGAGACAGGAAAGCTTGTATTCCAAACACAAACAGCAAGTACCATGTCAACATGAACACTGTCCTTTGCCAGCTATTCTAGGAACAGGTGGACGTCACCATTTCATTTTGACTGTGGGATATCTGAGCCTTATCCACCTTGTATGAGAAGCAGGGAGACACCACGATGGGAAGCGAAAGCACTTTTGGTTTTAATGCATGGAGATAGGAAGGACAATGGGGAGACTGCCAGAAGAGAATCAAGTGAAGGGTGAAATGGGAGTTCAAACTGCAGCCCAACAAGCAAGTTCCAGAGGCTCTGATGCAAGAGAAAAATCTCTCTCGGTTGCTAGAAACTTTCCATTTCCGTCTAACTAAAGCACAAATAAGGATGGTGCTGAAGGACCCAGAGGCGGTTCCAGCTCTTCAATATTAACTTTTGATGTAAAGCAGAGCAACCAGACAAGCCTCTTAACGACTAAAAATTAATCCTGGGGCTAAGTGTTTAGTCGCCTGAATTCACCATTACTGGGGCTAAAAATTCTGCCCCAGTTCCAATTGATCTGTGCTCTGCACATTGCCACTGAACCCAGAAACCCAGGCAGGTATATGGGAGCGACACACGCAGTATTGATCAGACAGCAGCAAGATGTCAAACAGTGGCAAAAACCTAGGACTGGTGCCAGGCCAGCAAAACCTAGGACGTATCTGGGGAGGAGAAATCTAGCTGCCAGTATGGTGGCACTTTGAGCCTTCCTCCTCTCCATTTTCAAGAGTAAAACTGAAGATGGTGATTTCTGTTCCAGACTTCAGGGAAGGCAGCATGGCCTGGCCTGGCTCTTGCAGGCAGCAGCTGCTCGTGGTCTCGCTCCAGAACAGACTGATATGGCCAGAGGCTGGTTATGAGTATGGACAAGTTAGAATTGATCTAAAATAGATGTTGCCCTGAGTGATTGTAGTCATACTGTTCTCCTACATCGTCTCTGCTGTCCTGGCCATCACCCTCTTGGGTAGATGTTTAGTTCCTGTACTTTCCTCTTCCCCCAGTAAATGATTACTGGCAGGTATGATTATTATTGGCATAATATTGGCAGTAAATGATTTTTGGCAGAGAGCAGAAGAACATGAAGGATTAAGCCTCTCTGTCAAGCTGCAGAGTGGCAGCCATTGGAAATGGCACCAAAAGTGACCACTGAAGTGTAGTTTCTCACACTTGGTCACTGGGCGGTGGTGCTCCCTTTATATGGCCACCACCAGTCCTTGTTCTCCAGCCAGCTCTCCTCACTCCCTGTGATGTGCCCAAGTGTTTAAGCAGGAGTTCATCTCTATCATGCCCCAACTATCCTCCGCCTTTGGCAGACTGCTGCTTTTCAGGGTTCTCATAATGAATCAAGTTGCATAAACAGAGCCATACAAACCTTCCTGATCACAAACTCCAGCTCAGCAGCCTGATACGCTGGATTCACAGATACCTGAACAGAGAGAAAACAGAGGGTTAATCAGAGTTAATGCTGCCTTGAAAAGACTCTTCAGCAACACATACTGCAAGATAAGTCCTCCCCGGAATGAGCTGCATTAAAAACCTCTATCCATGTCTGACATGCAGAACTAAGAGGTCACCACCACAAGAAATATTTGTTAAATAACATTAAAAAAAAAGGAAGAGATTTGCATGAGACAAAGACCTCTAAATACCATAAAAAAAAAAAAGGGGAAGAGATTTGCATGAGACAAAGACCTGCAAGAAAGATGAGAAGAGAAACCAAGTCTCCTTTTTCCAAGGCAGACATTCAATCTGTGAAACCAAAGACACCCAGAACTCAAGGGCAAGCTAGATTTCCTAATGGACAACAAGCAAAATACTGGCTCCCCCAGTGCAGCTCTCAGCAGAAGCGGTTTTGGTCCCAGGGGCTGAGTTACACAATCAGGTTTACATGGAGCCAGGCACATCCACTCTATCTATCAATGTTTCTTATCGGACATCAAGATGAAAAATGATTAAGAAAATATCCTGGAAGATAAAGCAGACTCCTACCCACAGGGTACTGTCTAAACAAGAGACATTTCACTGAGTTGCCAGGTGATATTATCACAGGAAAATGGCTTTTCGGCATATGCAGCTTGAAGCAGATTATTAAATGAGCATTTTGCATCACAAAGCAATTGAGATCAGCATGTTACGTAAAAATGGCCGTAGCCTGTAGGCTAAGATTTGTCATCAGTGGCTGAAGACATTTCACAGCAACCATTTTCTTGCTGCTCCTTCATCTGAGCTCTGTCTCTGCTTTCCTAGGTACTGCAGGATGAAGACTCGAAGGGCTACACAAGTCTTGCTTAAATATTGGCTTCAGAAACATTTTGCTCGAACACAGTCAAAAAAAATCATTCTTCAAAATCTCCATTTATATCTTTGCTTACATAGAATCATTTCCCAACCTACAGCTAAAGACCCGCACACTCGGATGCGGCAGGTTCCTTACCAGGATGATTCCTGCCTGAGCAGTGGCAAACTGCATGAGAACCCACTCGTATCTGTTAGGACACCACACTCCCAGGCGGTCTCCTTTCTTCAGGCCGAGAGCCAGAAGTCCAGCTGCTGCCTGGTCTACCTGTAAAACACAGGACAAGTGCCTGGGGCTTGGTAGGAAGCTCACGAACAGGGGGTCATCGGGGGATAGACATTTTCAGCAATACTTTCGGGGAGAAAAATATAATCTTAACAAGTGAAACCAGGCTGAATGTACCTCTACAGCACAGTGTCGGCTTATTGCTGCACCAAGATCGTTTTTCTGAAGAACAGGGTTTCTGAGTGTCAGAACAGATTGGTCTGTATTCAGCAAGTTGAATAAAAGTAGCAAATTCAGAACCATAAAGAAAAGCAGGAAGGAATCATGATAGGCAAACACCTACAAGCATTTGCAAATAAATTATTGTCCAATGAAGGGCTATTTAACATCTTCCTTTTCATTAAACTCGAAATAGGACTAAGCCTTATTTGTGTCTTTGGCCTATGTACAGAGACAAGTTTGCCTCCATTCTGCAAATATTGCAGAGTTCTGAAACATCGCAGATGAAGGGAATAGTAGGAAAAGATTTTTGACCAATACGGATTTGGGTTCCTATCCTCATGAATTTGAAATCAGCCACTACATTGGGATCACTATTTTATTTTGCAAGATGCAAGATTTTGCATGTGTGTGCACATGTATAAACATTCCAAGAATGGTTCTTACATCCTCTCATCATTTTGTCAAATGAATTTATGAAATTATCATTATGAAATCTACCTTGTAGGAGATATGAAGGAATATCAAGGAATAGCTACTTTCCAGCTTAGTTCTGAGTTATAGTTTACTTTTTAAATTATGGTGAACTTTGTTAGTTTTATCTATCTGCATGGATTTAAACAAAACGCTAGTAAATCTAAAAACAAACCAAAACAAATGAAAAAACCCACAAACCAATTCTACCTATTCAAGATCATATTAGGTATTAAGAGAAGCTTTCCATCTGTTTTCTTTGAAACATTTTTCCTCCATTCAGAATACACATATATGCGTTTGTACACGCATGCAGACAGACATACGCATGGATATACCCACAGATTTGTGTATTCTCCTTTGGGATCAAATCCATGACTTCATTTACAGTTTCACTTGCACTAGAACTAGAAAGCTCTACATACTTGGGTCCCATCAGAGTCTCACTAATACAAGAGCTAGAGCTGAGTCAAGCTGAAAAAAACCACAACTCCGCTCTTACAAAATTATCACCAGCATCTGAATTATTAAGTATGAAAGTTCGACCTGCGATATACAGCAAGCACTTTGCAAATACTCTGTCTCCTGCTGACTTTGCAATCATGAGGAAGACAAGCACGGCCCACACCCAGATGTTCACTGGAGGTGCTCAGAACCAGGACGAGAGTCCAGGCAGGAGGAGCCTAGCTGCTTGCTCGGCTGACTGATGAATTCCCTTTGGACTCCTCGGCTCTGCCTGCCACCGCTGTTACCTCTTGGCATGCAGCATCTGACAAGCAAACTCGGCACTCACTTCCTCTTTGAATTGAGCAAATGTTTTCCGAACCCCGTCCCGGCAGAACACCAAGGCATCGCGGTCAGGAAACCGCTGGACCGTCTCATCCAGGCACTGGCCCACAGTTTTGGTGAGGAGAGGAATGTCTAAGGTGCCTTGGACATAGCTGCTGGTCACTCGATGGGCCGTAGAGGAGATCCTGGTGTGCAGCGCACTGTAAAAGAGAAGAAGCAGCTGTGAGACAGATGCCAGAAGGGATCTCTGCTGCCCCAGACCCATTCCTCAGATGACCATCCTACTTTATGTTGACTCCTTATTCAGGGCGCCATCCTATCTTACCTTAATGACGTCCGCATTGCCCAGCAGCGCAGGCGGCCCCAGCGGGCAGCAGCTCTCCCCAACTCCCTCCAAGCCCAAGGGCTGCTCGCTGGGGCTAAAGAAGACACACCAGCCCCGGGGGCCAGGCAAGACCTCCAACATTTCTAGCTGTTTGCAAAGATCTGGGAGACCGCAATGGTTCCTCACCCTTCTTCAGGGCTACAAGGTGCAGATAGCTTGGAAAGTACACAATAAAAGTGCTTTTTTAGGGAAACTCCCCAGTTCTCTGCACTGAAAAGATTAGACGACTGGGACACAGGAAAAGAAAGTTAAAATAAAGCCAGAGTTCTGGCATTTTATCTGTCTCTAAATAGGCTTGCAGGGAATAGGAGGTTCTAATCTCGCAGAGTAAAAGCTGTTAAGAGAGAGTTCAAAGCTGAGCTGCAATTGAGACGCACTTGCAGGGTAATGGCCTGCATATACAACACTGAGTGTGCACTGCATGCTTCACTGGCTCTAAGTTAGAGCACAAGGAGTTTATAGCACCGAAGACAGCAACAGTAAAACTAGGAGCTACCAGAGAGATGGGAGACAGAAGTGCAGAGCCAGCAAAGCAGGGTTGCAAGGTGGAGGAGGAGACACGTTGAGGCACTATGGAGGGAGCAAAGCAGGGCATTTCAGGAGGCAGAAATGGCACCACGGGAGTGCTTGGAAGGAGTTCAAAGAAATTATGTGGGAGGCCAAACTGGGGGGAAACCGACGTGGTCAGAAGAGCAAGGCTAGGATGTGCGCAGGGCAGTGGGGAGAGCACTTTAAAATCACTGAAGCTTTCACTCAAGTCGGATCACCAGGTATCCCGCTCAGTGGAGGGGCTGCAGCCTCCCGGCGCTCCGAGGGCTGCGGTTCTTCTCCCGGGTTGCTCTCTTGGCTCGTGCTGCCCCGTTCGGACAGGCCAGCGCTGCCGGACTGCAGCCCTCTGCCTGCTCCCTGCTTTCCTCCACACCCGCAGCTTCTCCCATCTTCCCCTAAGAACGGACCAGGATTAAGCATCACCTGTGAGCTGCGTTTGCTCCGAACACGGCTTATCACGCACAGAACCATGGTATGACAGAGCGGGATCCAAGATCTCACGGCAACAAACCAGCCCAGCCTGAACTCCAGTTTTCTCCCATTCATTATGGGATTAATATTCTGCAAAGTCTTTGTGACAAGTACCACAAAAGATTAGCTCTCCTGCCAATGAGAAACAGAAATTAGCATCAAGTTGCTTCCTGCTCTAAAGGGCCAAGTTCTGCCTTGTGATAACCAGAGAGCAAGTTTTCACCTGCTGAGAGGGAGTTTTCCTGGAAGAGCTGTGCCGATGACCCACCTTCTTTCCCTGCTCCTTTTCAGCAGATGGTGGAGGGCTGTGTGACTCCCACTCCTTCTATTTGTGCAGTCACTTATTATATCAGTCTGGGAGGGTAATTTACACCGAGTATTGCCAGAGAGGGAGGAGGAGAGAGCACAAAAACATGGATTTTAAACAGAATTATCTTTTATTGTTTGAAAGTTTCTGGGCAAGGCACGTAAATAAACTTGGAGATGAAACAACATTCTGCAGAAAAGGCTTTTTACAATGGTTGAAAAATCCCTTCCTAACCCAAGGGCAGGCAAAGCCCCGAAAACCAGCGCAGTCCTGCAGTGCTGGAAACCGCGGGCAGACGAGCGGCCGGCAGGGGCTGGGAGGGGGCTCTGGAGAAGCCGTTGCGGCCGCTGACGCTGGCACCGGCGCGCGGCAGGCGAGGGACAGGCAACGCCGCCAGCCCCGCCAAGGCGCCTGGCAGAGCGGTGACGCTCACCCCCGAGGAAAAGGCCAAGCCACCACGTTCAGCGCAAGCAGAATACAGCCCAAATCCTGCATATTTCTCCCCATCAACCAACTTGAGAAGAAAGAAAAAAAAGTCTCCGCTTCCTCCCACGCCGAGTTCATTACAGGGCTTGAGAAGGAAAGGCTGGAGCCGCCAGGCAGCAACTGCTGAGCTAGTTGCACAAGAGCCACTTTCCCCAAGCGCCGCTCGTGGGGTCACCGAGGGCTGAGCAGCCTCAGCCCTTGGCTGCCTGAGCAGCAAGGAAACATTTTGTGTCCCGCACAGCCCCTCTGGGGACTCGGGCCCAACGGAACCGCAGCTAACGGGTCAAAAATTTGGTCTGGCACAATTCTCCAGCACGTGGCTGCCCAAAAAGCAAGAGGAGACTGGAGAGGGGAAGAAAAAAATGCAATAAAATTAAATCTTCCCCCAGCCCCCCCAGGCCACTGCTCTCTGCCAGCATCCTGCCGTTAATCTTCTGTCTCAAGAGGCACTTGCACAACCACCTGCGGCCACTGCCGAAGCGAGGGGCGATACTCGACGTGGTCACCACTCGGCAGAGCGGCCAGACTGTTCGTGCTTTCTAGGGCTACTCTCTCATGGTTTCCAGCCCTGAGGAGCCAAAGGGCTTCACTGACCTCAGAGGAGCTTGAGGGCAGGAGGGCTTTTCCTTGGACAACACAAGGGACCCTCACATGGTCCCAAGCGAAGTCTGTCACGCAGGTGAGTCTAAGGGCTCGATCCTCACTCAGCACATGCAAATCCACAGCCCAGGGACAGATCTGCCTCCTGTCTTTGTGGCCCTGTCATCCTCCCTATCCTCATATATGGGGATGAAAGAACAGCAAAACATTTCTTTAAGAAGCCCCGTGACGCTGCACTCCAACACCTCTCTGAAAGGACTGATAGCTTCCCCTTGCACAAGAACATGCATGGGTTATTTCAAAAGCCCCAAGTGTTCACACCTCTAAATGAGGACACCAGCACCTTTGAAGTGAGGGCCCAGGACAGCTCCTGCACTAACTCTTTGCAAAGTGCTTGCGCAAATGGTTTCTTCAAGTACATTAAGCAGCAGAACTCACAGCTGTCCCCCGACTAGACCTCCCCAAATTCTAGACTTGTGATACAGAAAGTGTGTGGTTGCTGAACCACATGCAAACACATTTTCTAGCCATGGTAAAAACATAAGTTTCACCGGAGCAGCCAGTGTAACTGAACAGAGAAACACCAGAGAGCTGGGGAAAACAAAAGCAACTCCCTGCTGGTCTCCAGAGAAAGGAAGGCAGCGGAATCCTCAGGGGCCCAGGAACTGCTCCTGCCTGATGGGGACAAGCAGAAAGCACCAGACTTGTAACAGGCACTTTTGAATAACCCTAGGAACTGTGCATATTTATCTCTGAATAGCCTCAGCTACCCCTGTATACGAGTTGATTTAAGATAGCCAGCTTTATTTTCAACCTTTCCTTTTGCACTTATCACTATAGAAAGGAGAAAAGCGCAGGGCAGTGCCCCAGGCTGCTGGGAACGGGAGGCATCACCGTAACCTGCTGTGCCCCTACAGCAAGGGCACAGGGAGGCTCCTGTTTGGCAGCTCCAGAGGACACTGACCTGACCTGTGCCCTCTTCACGTGTGCACTTCCCACCCACGGCTTGGGAAGGAGCCTGCCTACAAAATTCCCTTCCGGAGAAGCTCGCAGACTCCTCAAGCAGCTCCCTTTGCTCAGGGAAGTCTACCCAGCCCTCACCCCCCTAAAGCAACAAGACTGGGGTCTTTCCTACAACACAACTGCAATAAAAGGGTGGCAGGAACTAACCCTGCTCAGCCCTATCCCTGTCTTTTCTTTACTCTTTAAAGCAACTCTTGATAGTAAAGGGTTAACCTGATTTTCATTACAATACATATATTTAGCTTTGGTTTGAGGAAGTGGTAGATTTCCCAGAGCTTTACCAGAGCTTTCAGATGCTGGATTTCCCTAAATTTGGGTTTTTTTCTACTATGCCCTTTTCCCTTCTGCACTCCTCCTGCCAAAAGGAGGAGCCACTTGCTGCTAAGAGGGGAGTTTAAGAAACTTTTCAGTAATAAAAAGAGCAAGAGTTTTTAAACCATCCCTCCTCCCTTCCACTCCTTCATCTATTTGATTTTTTAATGTAAATTAAAATTCTGTGTTTCTGCTCCTCAATTTCTTACAATTCTGGGCTGGAGTCTAAACCAAACCAGATTTAACATTTCTTGATACAATTTCATAAGAACAGATTTGGAGCCTGCAATCTGGGTTCCACATGAGCACCAACTACCGCACTCCTCATCTCAACCCTGGCACCCAGACGCTGCCTACGGAAAAGAGGATTTGCTCCTTACAGGGTTTGCCGAGTTGCTCCCTGGAAACCATACATGGAGCCATCCTGGAACGCCAGTTAATCCTCCAAAATCACATTTTTCTCCTAGGGTCCTTACCCGCCAGCATCTCCCAAACGGCTGTGTTGGAAAAGCCAAGGCAAACTGCGGGACGCATCCCCCGAGCTCCGCAGAGCTGCTCCAGCCCAGGGCCCCGCGTCGCCCCGGGAGGCTCTGCGCGGCAGGGACAGTGACGCTGCCAGACGAGCGCGAGCTCGAGCGGCAAAGGCGCGCGGAAAAGCAATGCACCACGTCCTGGATGACCACGGCGGGGACCAGGCTGTCCCGCACGGGGAGGCCAGCCCAGGGCGCACGTTCATATCCCCTCTGTGCGATGCACGGGAATTGTCCCTGGTGCTGGGCCCTGTCCTAGCAGGCCGGAGGGCAGGGCGAGGGATACAGCCTGTCTCCTGCCACCTGGGAGGGATTTTATGGGAGCCAAGGAGCAGCAACACGTGCAAGGAGCAGAGCGCACGCGCTGGCTTTGTCCTCTTTGCAAGGGGCACCCAGCTCACCATACACCCATAGGCCACCATCCTCACCCACAGGCCCGTGTGTCCTGTCCCTACGGCACAGCCTCTGTTCCCCATAGCCCTCCAACCCCTGTCCCCAGAATCCTCTATCTCCCTTTCCCCTGGCCTCTACCCGCACAGTCCCCCAGCCCGCACAGCCTGCGCTCCCTACAGCCTCCACCCGCCACGCACAGCCTCTGCCCCCTGCTCCTGCAGCCTCTGCTCCCCACAGCCCGCAGAGCTCCGGGCGCG